AAAATGAGGAAGCCAAATTATAACTTCATTTTTATTTTCTACAATAAATTTTAAGCCTATGATAAGCAGACTAGAGCTCCCATTTTGGGGGGGAGGAAGAGGAGAAATAGAATTTTGAAGCTTTTCTGAGTTAATTCTACCTCTAAAGGACAATGCATTGCAGCAACCTTATTAACTAGGAAGTTATTATGAGGATTGCCATAGAATGAATACTATCACCTCAAGACTTATCTGAAGACCATCTACAAAAAATCCCTTAAGACTACTAATTTCAGTCCATTCCGTAGAACTGACAAATGTTTTGCAAATGTGCTCTAGATTGCCTATGAGTTTGTAGTCAGTGATTATAATAATATTTATATTTCTGCTTTTTGCAATAAATATGTACTGTTAAACAATGTTTTAAAATTACTTTATTTGATGTCTCATTAAAAGCAAAGCTACAGGTATTGGGAGGAGGGGACTGGAAGTTAAAAGGGGAAGTACTCAACTGAAGTAGTGTAAAAATTACTACTTTGGGTGTATGGTTCTCCAAGTGTCTGGGGATCACTGGGGTGGTTCCCAAGTCCTTTCCAGAGAGTCTGTAAAGTAAAAACTGTTTTCATAATAACACTAAGATGTTTTTCCTTTCTTATGTTTACAATAGAGTTTTCCAGAAGCCCCATAATGTATGAAGATATTATCAGTCTGTTGGCAAATAAAATGTATGCATGAATGTGCCTGAGAATCACTGTGTTAGGGGATAAACCTCAATGGAAGGGGCACATCTAATCAAATGCGTTCATATTTTATATGAAGAAACTAGTCCATAGGTTTCATGAAGACAGTAATTGTGTCTGTCTGGCTCACTGTTTTATCCTCAGAATATAGCATAGTGCTGGATACAATATAGGCATTCAAATATTTCATAAACTAATACATGAATTCATACACACACACACACACACACACACACACACACACATTTATAAATAAAGCGTTTGCTAACTGACTTATTCAAGGTTACATAAAACATTAGCAGTAAAGACAGAATTATATTTCAGGTCTCCTGTCTTCAATTCCTATAGTCATGATTCCTAGCTCAAGAATATTTTTGTTTTTTGTTAATTATTGTCTTCTAACTATGGAAAGCATAGGTAATCAGTTATCAATGTAGGATGATTATCTATTCATGATGTTATATAAGTTGAGCACTATACAGATTATTTCTGGCTTTAAGAATCATCAGCATAGAGTAATACCAAAGAGCTGTAATTACAAGTTAATGGCAAGAGATATCAGATAAAATTTCCTGAGTTTTTGCCCAAAACTGTTGAAATTTTTGTGATCCATTCTTGTGCTAATTCCTAATCTCATTCTCCTCCTTTTTTGGCCACGATCATTAAACTTCCAGCAAGTCTTTATATTAGTACACTCAGTAGATCTCACACTCTGGGAAAATAAGACTATAAAATTTTTGAAAATATTCTTTATACACTCAACATTGTTTTGAGACAACCAGTGGGTATTTGTAACAGAGATGAGAGAGTTTTGCTTGTCACCTTACTGATGGTTACAGAAAATGTAATAGCCTACCTAGTACAAAGATGAATCATATCTGTCTTGTGAGATGCTGCTTTGGCCACCTAAATTCCAACTCCTGTGAGAAACTGCTTTAGAGATGGCTAACTTAAGACAAAACCAACAAGCCAACAGACAAAGCTCTCCCAGTCAACTAGAAGGAATTCTTCTCTACTCACTCATCCTAATAATGCACGACTGTCCTGTCTCCTTTATGACAAGAGCAGCCAATGGGTCTCCAGCAGTCAGACTACATTGAAGGTTCCTATGCCTGATAAGCCCTTCTACTGTGGGGCTTTGGGATTCTTGCAATCACTGCCACTGGAGAAGGAATAAAACTTATTTAAATTTCTTCAGTACTTCTTAACCCATTCAATACTGTTTTCTAGAGAAGTTGATTAGATATAGTCGATTCTCCCTATTCACAGTAGTTGTGTCCTATAAAGTCATTGACAAAACTGAATTAGCAAATACTGAACTATTGTTCTCAGTTGAAAAACAGGGTTAGGTGAACCTCTGGTCATAAAATTTTCATCAACCAATCCATATATAACCTTGTTTTAGGTGTGTTTTTGTTTACACATACATTATTTAATATATATTGTTCATTCAGTAACGGTGAACTCACAGGACTGTTAAATCATGCCCTAACGATGCTTATCCAGCACATGTATTTTTTTGTAAAAATTTTTTTCCCTTAGGCATATCACAGTCTTTTAAAATTGTGGTAAATATACATAACATTTAGCATCTTAACCATTTTTAGATGTACAGTTCTGTGGCATTAAGCACATTCACATGGTTGTATAGCCAACACCACCATTCATCATCAGAAATTTTTCATCCTCCCAGACTGAAACTCTGTATCTATCACACAGTAACTTCCCCTCAGTGCCCCACCCAGCCCCTGGCAACCACTATGCTACTTTCCATCACAGCTTTGTTGTGGTTAGGAACATAGGAACACCACACAGCACTTCAGCACTATGCTTGGGAACAAGTTTTGAAAAGCAAAATCAATAACAGGAACAATTTTAAAAAGCACAAAAACTAAATAGACTGCAAAAAGGGAATGTGTTTATAGTATGAGAGCTGAAACATTAAGGCAGAACCCTGTCTTGTTTGATCTCATCTGGGAAACTGTGCATCAGATAGGCCCCAAATTTTTTGCCACTCTGTGAATGCCAGTGAATGACTGTAAAATGCCAGGAGTATTGAGTTTCATAAATAAATTTCAGCAATTAGGCAAATTTGTGGTTACGGAAATCATGAATAATGAGAATTGTCTGTAGGTGGAAATGAAAACCTTTGTTCACTTTTTTTTCCGGTAAGAAGAATAAAGAGCTGGAACACGTCTTGTAATCTGGCTGCCTTAGAAAATTTTACTTGCCTCACAGTGCTAGAAAGGTAGACTTTGTGACTGATAATTGGCAGCTATGATCTGAAGCAGTTCTAGTTCATGTGGAGGATAATTTTAAGCAGAATCTCAAACCCCTCTGCATAAAACGAAGAGCAAGTGCTCAAGTGCCAGCTACCAATTACTTTATGACAGGTGCTGTATTCAGCAATTTACATGCATTATTAAATTATATTCCCCCAAAACCCTATAAGGAAACTAAAGTTTAGGAAAGTTAAGTATCTCATCCATTATCACATAGTTAGCAGTGGCAAAGTTGAGATTTGAACTCGGGTCTATCTGACTCCAGAAACTGAGTTCTCAACTCAACTGCCATGCAATTCTAACCTTATTTTTAAAAAAGTATGACTTACTTGGAATTGTATAGATGCACATGTTACAATGATCATAACATTTCAAAGATTTATACATTGAAAAATGAATTAACCAAACAAATAAAACCTTAGAAGCCAGATCTAACATTGTCCCATAACAAAGAGTATCTGAAATCCTCAGGGCATCTGGTTTGTGTCTGGTTTTCCTTAATCTTTAATGATGGGCAAATCCGATGCATTATGTAAGGCCATTTTTTTCTCAAGAGATGTAGATACCTCTTAAGAATTTGATGAAAATGCATTAACTTTTCAGGCTACTGAGTTGCATTTTAGTGCACCGAGGCAGTAAATTAGTGTACAGTGTGCAAAAATGGTAGTGACTTTAAAAATAAATATTTGATATGAGCCATTGCATTCTCTTGGAAAATAAAAAAAGTAATGGATTAAATCTCTTAGGAATCCTTAGTGTCCCAAAAAGGAGTAGGAAAAAGAAATCTCCTTTGGCCTGGAAATATCTCTGTTTCTTGCTGGCTATGTTTGCTTAGCTCTTTAATAGTTCATTTGACTACATCTTGTGGCTCCCAAAGCTAAGGTTGAGCGTTTGATCCCTACAGAGGCCATTTAAATTTAGAGAACAAAAAGCTCTATTCTCTGCTCCCAGACTTTACCCCAAATCCCTGCCAGGTGTCTGCCCTCTGGTCAAAATGAGAAATTGGCAAAGGGGTACAAACATATCACAGTATTGGGAAACCACAAAAGGTCACCCCTTTATCATGATGCTCTTTCTTTTTATGTGCTTACAATATTCTGATGTAACTTATAGAGAATAAATCCTACACTTTTTACTCTCTGGATATTTACTGCTGGAAATCTGAGGAAACTATAATGAGCTCTGCAATGCCAGTTATAAAATTTATTATCTTATTCTATGTTCAGAGATTTTTCTACTTGCCGATATTACCCTCTTGGTAATAAACAATGAAGAAACGTATCTTCTGAGTTATATTAATCTGTATCTTTAGAATAGGAAATAATACCAGCCAGTCAAAAGTTCAGCATAATTTTCAAAATAATAAATGGCATTAAACTATGTAAAAATAATTACATGCACAAAATGGCATAATAAGAATGACCTTCAATATGTACTGATAATTTAATCAGAAAACAAGTTTCTCAAATTATAGATGAAAATTCTCTACTAGCATCACAATCTTAACTTTTAATTCAGATCTTCCTAATTTTTATTTTCCTAATTACTTGGCACTAAAAATAATTTAATACAACAAATAAAAATATTTTTACTTCAAATGCTTGCCTAAACAATATAAAATCATTTTAGTTTTTGAGGAAGTAATATTTCATATTTTAAATATGTAGTACAAATTAAAGTTGACTTATTTAAATTACAATAAGAGCTGTATAAGGATTAATAAGATTTAAGTACAGTTTATATTATTGCCAAAATAGACTTTTATTTTTCAAATGTCACAAATATCTTTTACTATTTGTAGATTTATTTCTTTTATGAAGTAGTCAAATGAATCAGCTCACCCTTGACTGTAACAAAATACTGCTTGGTGACTTGTGACAGACAGGGTTTTAACCTCTGACAGCGAGATTCATTGTGGAGCAAGAGCCAATCATAGATCCTGACGACACTTGTCTCATCTAAGTTGGAATATAAAAAGCCACTTGGAATACAGTATAAAAGATTCACTGGTGTGGCAAGTTGTCTCTCAGACTGTACATGCATTAAAATTGTGCTTGGCACTATTCAAAAGCAAAAGAAGAGTAAAAAGAAGAAATAAGAATAAGAAAAAAAAGATTATATGGATTTTAAAATCATGCAAAAACTGCAACTCTATGTTTATATTTACCTGTTCATGCTGATTGTTGCTGGTTCAGTGGATCTAAATGAGAACAGTGAGCAAAACGAAAATGTGGAAAAAGAGGGGCTGTGTAATACATGTACTTGGAGACAAAACACTAAATCTTCAAGAATAGAAGCCATAAAAATTCAAATCCTCAGTAAACTTCGTCTGGAAACAGCTCCCAACATCAGCAAAGATGCTATAAGACAACTTTTACCCAAAGCTCCTCCACTCCGGGAACTGATTGATCAGTATGATGTCCAGAGGGATGACAGCAGTGATGGTTCTTTGGAAGATGACGATTATCACGCTACAACAGAAACAATCATTACCATGCCTACAGAGTGTAAGTAGTCCTATTAGTGTATATCAACAGTTCTGCTGACTGTTTTTCTGGTGTTTATGAGAAACAGATCTATTTTCAGGCTCTTTTAACAAGCTGTTGGCTTGTATGTAAGTAGAAAGGGAAAGAGTTTCTCTTTTTAAAGATTTCATGAGAATATATTAATGAGACAGAAATCTGTTGCATTATTTGTTTTCTTGTAGATATAAAAACTAAAAAATAAAATACTTGCATAGCATTGGTTTAATAAGGCAAGTATAGATAGCATGCTTATGCTTTCACAGTAATACCACCAAGGCAACGACTGGAAGATACTACAAGCAATGTTTAAAACTTACATTATATTTTATAATTGTATTTGGTTGTGTAAAATTTGCGTCTACAAGAAGTTTTTTTCACTAATAAGAAAACAAAAAGAAACTTGCTGGATGTTTAAGCTTACTTGAGCACTGCTGAAAACCTAAAGTGATTTCTGTTATTTGAAACTCTCTCGGTATTTTTGTTGTTCTTCACAGTTAAAAGTTTAATTTTGAAAGTATCACACTGAAGAGTATGTTAAAAATTAAACATCTTAATGTATTAGAGCAATAATGAAGTAAACGTAGCATAATGATCATCATGAACTAAATATCAGAAAATGCCTAAGAAATAAAGATTTTAATTGGGTAGGTTATGGCTCACGAAGTCCTCCTTGTACCTTGACCATGGTACTATTGTTGACAGTACCCACTTTGTGTACTTCCAAGCAGGCACAGTGCTTAATTACCTTCTGTAATATTTTATTCTTCCTGAGAGGGAGGGCTTTTACCTGTAGTATCTACATTGCTTCTGACAGATAACATATTTCATACAATTCATTTTATAGTCAGCTCAAAAGAGTACTTTCTCCAGGAAAGAGAAACAGGCACCTTGACAGAGAAGGCGTGGCAAGAAAAATTTTGTGTTATGTTATCTGTTATCTTGCTTTCGTATAATGCTTTATATACTTTAAACAAGACTCAAAACAGTTTTAAAATATTATTTTCCTTATTAAGTAATCAGGTTACAATGCAGCAAAGAATTTTCATTTAAGACTCTGCTATCAAATAGTTCTGGAATAGATTTACCTTTTATAGACAACTTTGGAAAACCAAAATAAAAGAAATTGTTAGTGCTTGTGCCTACATGAACAGCCTGCCCCTAAGACAATACTTTTGAACTTTTGAGATAGCCTGGCTATAACATCAAAATTTTTGTGCTAATTACCTGCCTGATTTTGCTTCTTTAAAAGGCTATTCTAAAGCCAAAATGTAACAGATGTACTGTGTTTTCTACTAATTCCCGAGGCTCAGTAAAGTTGCTCAGTGTGTCTTGTTCCCAGGTAATTCAGGCCTGGGGGAAGGGTTCCTTCTTCCAGACTGATTGGTACAGCTGCTCAGTAAGTGTAACTACTCAGATTCCCAAAGAATTCTAAGTGGTTGTTCCTCCACAGTGTCTCTTGCTCTCTGTAATCATCATCATTTTAAAATTTCATTCAGTGTTCATTACTTCATAGAATCTTCCTTTGTCCATAGTTCTCTGGAAGGGGAATAGATTCCTGAAGAGCAGCTGAAAATACATATATCTGAGCAATTCTGAAAGTTAGGGTCATTATTTTCTTTGACATTTTTTTTCTGAGGTATAAAGTTCCACACAGTATTTCATTTTAAAAGACTGAATAGGCATACATGATCTTAATATTTTTTAATGTTCAACTATTAACTTGGAGGGCTTTTGTTCACTTTTTAATGGGCAATAATTTCAGTAATTCTTCTTTTCTTATTCATTTATAGCTGATTTTCTAACACAAGTGGATGGAAAACTCAAGTGTTGCTTCTTTAAATTTAGCTCTAAAATACAATACAATAAAGTAGTAAAGGCCCAATTATGGATATATTTGAAACCCGTCAAGACTCCTACAACAGTGTTTGTGCAAATCCTGAGACTCATCAAACCCATGAAAGATGGTACAAGGTATACTGGAATCCGATCTCTGAAACTTGACATGAACCCAGGCACTGGTATTTGGCAGAGCATTGATGTGAAGACAGTGTTGCAAAATTGGCTCAAACAACCTGAATCCAACTTAGGCATTGAAATAAAAGCTTTAGATGATAATGGTCATGATCTTGCTGTAACCTTCCCAGAATCAAAAGAAAATGGGCTGGTAAGTGATAACTGAAAATAACATTCTAACAACCTTATGTTTTTATTCATAATATGAATGAGCAATATTGGAAAACAGCTACAGATTTCCTAAGCTCATGAGCCAGACAAAGGTAACTTACCCTAGTGGTAACCCTGTACCCAATAAAAGTAGGTGTCCAATTTTATATCCTATGAAACACTCCCTTGATACTCTTACTTTGCATGAAGATTTTAGAATAAAATTATACCATACTTAACTTCTTAAGAAGTTCTTTTGAACTGGGAATGAAATATAAAATGCTTTCCTTTCATATGATATATGATTGTGTGAATTAAAATATTAACTCTATATAGTGGATTTTAGCACATAAACAAATCAAAACTTTTTTTTCTCCCAGAAGGGTGCCAAATGTGTTAAAAATTTTGGACTTAGCATAAAACAGATAAACTTCTAAAATTATAATGAAAAAATGTTTTATTATGAGAAATTAATTAAGAGTGATGGTTATAGGCTTATATTTTATTAAATATACTTAGGATTCCTTATAATAAACATGTTCAATATTTGTAGTATGTCAGTGCCCTGATGTGTGCATATATTTCTTTTTGGAATACTCCTAATAAAATTTCAATTTACAGACTAGTTAACCTTTGCCACCTAGCTTCTTTTAATTATTATTATTATACTTTATGTTCAGGGGTACATGTGCAGATCATGCAGGTTTGTTACATAGGTATGCATGTGCCATATTTCTGAGCTGCCTTAGCATTCTTGTGCAAGAGTTTACTCAGGGAAAGCCAACTAACTTAGTATCAGGCCAAGTAAATGACAATACCTTAAATATTACAAAAATTAATAAAAACATTTTAATACCTAGTACAAATTTAGAGTTACTCTTCTGGCTAACCTATGTTTCTGTTTACTTCTATTTTCAAACACTTAATGTGATCACATCTTTTTATGTTCATCTATTGACATAATTTACAAAAGACGATTATACTTGTAAACAACAAGCATGTTATGTTTTTAATCTTTAAATGATCTTGGTTATAAAGATTATATAATTAGCAGATCAGATCTACTTTAAATAAAAATATTCTTTAAAATTTTATAAAATATTTTTTATTTTTATTATTTACTTATTAATTGTGTATATATATGTATGTATACACAAACACACACACACATATGTTTTACTTCAATAGTTTTGGGGGTACAAGTGGCTTCTGGTTACATAGATGAATTGTATAGTGCTGAAGTCTGAGATTTTGGCACACCCATCACTCCAAGTAGTGTATATTGCACTAATATGTAGTTTTTAATCCCTCATACCCTCACCCTCCCCACTTCTGAGTCTCCAGAATACCTGTACTACTCTGTATGTCTTTGCATACCCATAGCTTAGCTCCCACTTATAAATGAGAACATACGGAATTTGGTTTTCCATTCCCTTAGAATAATGGTCTTCAGCGCCATCCAATTTGCTGCAAAATATATTACTTCATTCATTCTTTTTTATAGTTAAGTAGTAATCCATGGTGTATATATACCCCATTTTCTTTATCCATTCATCTGCTGATGGGCACTTAGGCTGATTTCATGTCTTTACAACTGTGAATTGTGCTGCAATAAACGTGTGTAGGTGTCTAAAAGACTATACAATTTTCTAAATGATTTAGTTTTCTTCATATATGCTACAGTAAATGTTAATGACTCCCAAAATGATATCATTATTTTTGATAGTCTTAAACAACAATACCTACAAGAGCTATTTTCAGTTAGATATGGGTTAAAAACTACTGTCAATTATTTAAGAAAGTGTTCCTTTTTGTAGGTAGCATTTTAATGCTCAAAACTGATAATATGACAAGTGGTTGATATGATGTATTCCTCATATTTTTTCATGTAAAGGGAAACAAAGTCTCAAATACATTAAAAGATTGGGGCAGAGGCAGTACTAACCATTTTTAAATATCCGAATAGGAACATTTTCCAGTGAAAGAATACAGGAAATATCATCATCTCTTCTTCTGAATTTGTCCTTCTCTCTTTTGCCCTGGCTTTATTGTTCAAGTTCCCCTGAGTGAGAACCTAGAGAATGGAGGCTGGATGGCTATACCTATCCCCCGGAGTTGCCAGGCATATTCAGTGAACATATTTAATCATGAAGCAAGAAGAGAGGGAGCTCAGCTCTTTCCTTCATGCCCCATTTCTCCTTCTTTTTTCTTCCCTCCTTTCCTTCTTCCCTACCTTTCTTCCCTTAAGTATTTTCAGGGCATTCATTATACGCCAGGCAGTCTGGTACTCAAACTTGGAAAAATAAAAATTAAAAAGACACGGGACTGACCTTAGGGAAATTTGTATTGTTGTTAAATTCTTTTGAGATGTAAGGGGGAAATTGAGCCTAGTGTAAATTAACATTCCTTAATGCTGTGCCTTTTAAAAATAAATGTGGTATGAACAAAATTATTAGTTTATTTCTTTAATAATGATTTCTTAAGGTAGGTAGAGAAGTGTTTCCAGGTCTATTGATATGACTGATTGTCTTTCCTTTTCTTACAGAATCCCTTTTTGGAGGTCAAGGTAACAGACACACCAAAAAGATCCAGAAGGGATTTTGGTCTTGACTGTGATGATCACTCAACAGAAACGCGATGCTGTCGTTACCCTCTTACTGTGGATTTTGAAGCTTTTGGATGGGATTGGATTATCGCTCCTAAAAGATATAAGGCCAATTACTGCTCTGGAGAGTGTGATTTTGTATTTTTACAAAAATATCCTCATACTCATCTGGTACACCAAGCAAACCCCAAAGGTTCAGCAGGCCCTTGCTGTACTCCCACAAAGATGTCTCCAATTAATATGCTGTATTTTAATGGCAAAGAACAAATAATATATGGGAAAATTCCAGCCATGGTAGTAGACCGCTGTGGGTGCTCATGAGATTTATATTAAGTTCATAACTTCCTAAAATATGGAAGGCTCCCCTCAACAATTTTGAAGCTGTGAAATTAAGTACCACAGGCCTAGAGTATGCTACAGTCACTTAAGCATAAGCTACAGTATATAAACTAAAAGGGGGAATATACGTGATGGTTGGCATTTAACCATCCAAACAAATCATACAATAAAAAGTTTTACGATTTCCAGAGTTTTTGAGTTAGAAGGAGATCAAATTACATTTATGATCCTATATATTACAACATGAGTGAGGAAATGAAAGCAATTCTCCTTGCATTCTGATGAATTAAAGGAGTATGCTTTAAAGTCTATTTCTTTACAATTTTGATTAATATTTACAGAAAAATCTACCTACAGTTTTGGTAAAATGCAGGATTGGTATATACTGTCATTCGAATCATCCTTAAACACTTCAATTTATATTACATGATCGCATACTTGGTAAGATAAAACTCCACAAAAATAGGGATGGTGCTATATATGCAAGTTCCAATTCCTACTGTAATTGACACAATAGGTTAACAATCCATGCCAATGGTGCTAATACAATAGGCTGAGTGACTGAGGTTATCAGGTTTATCAAATAAAAAAATTCAGTAAAACAGTAAAGTTCTCTTTTCTTTGGGTGCATTTTCATACACCTCCAAATGAGAAACAGATTTTCTTTAAGGTAAGAAGAATCATTTTTCTAGAGGTTAGCTTTCAATTCTGTAGCATGCTTAGAGAAAGTGCATTATCTTAAAAGTCAGTCAAATAGTATTTGTTTTTATCAAAATTTCAAAATAACATACTTGGAGAACAATGTAATTTCGTCTTTGGAAAATGACAATACTGTCTTTATAACACTGCAGTTTTTATGGCAAAATAATAGAAATGATTGAATCTATCAATATTGCATAAAAAGACTCAATGCATTTATATCATATGTATTCAACATTGTTTTGTAAATAAGCATCTCCTTTTTTATTTGCTTTGGTAATTTTTAGACTAAGGACATTTCAAATTAAGTATTAAGGCACAAAGATATGTCATGCATCACATAAAAGCAACTACTTATATTTCAAATCAAATTAGCAGATTAAATGGTAGTCTTAAAACTCCGGAGGTTAATGATTAGATGGTTAAATTACAATCATTTTATATTTTGTTACATTATTAACATTCACTTATGGATTCATGATGGCTGTATAATGTGAATTTGAAATTTCAGTGGTTCATTGTCGTTGTGTTCAAATCTCAGTATTTCATTATATTAATACTTGCAGTCATTACTAAGCATATCAAAATAATTGACTCTGTTATCTGAAATGAAGACTAATAAGCTGATGCTATCTCAACAATAACTGTTACTTTTATAATTTGATAATGTTAATCAAATTTATTGTACTACGACTAAATGAAATTATTTCTTATATCTAATGTGTAGAAACAATATAAGTTATATTAAACTGTTTTCACATTTTCTGAAAGACACAACAGTTTTTATTATAATGATTAATTCTGGATTTCTGATTTTCACTTTATTATGGAAGTCTAATGGGTTAGCACAAAAGTTTGATTGAGGAATTTTAAGTCTGCTACTCTGGTTCTCAGGAGTTAAATTCCTATTAAATTGGTCCTGGTCAAGTTGCTTTATACATATGAAAGCAAGGACTAGTTATATCTGTTTCAGTTCTTCTTATCTTGACCTGAAAACTATTTATATGTTTTCATAGGTTCAATTTCCAAATGCATTGCAGTTGTCAAAGGTACATAGTTCTACTGAAGCCACAGAGATACAAGAAAGCTACATCTTTTCTTACCACTTAATGATACTGGTATCTTTATCTCAACTTTCACCAGTTTTCACCAAAATTCACCAATTTTCAAATTGAATTGCAAAACAGTTGTAAAGTACCTAGAAATCCTTAAGTGCAGTAACATATATAAATATTTTTGAAGTGATCCCTCCTCTCCACCCTCCATCAGTTTAGTAACTTAGTTATAAAGCAGTTACTAAGTTTAATAGGGAAGATAATTAAAATTCTATGTGTTAACATAGCTAGTTTATAATTAATATAAATATTTCAATAATTTATATTTGCATATTAGTTATATACAAAATAGAAATCTTAATTCAAATACTGATTAAACTATAATAAAATCCATTTCAAATATCAAATGATCACTTTTAAAAATAAAACGCATGCATACTACCAATAATATAACCAAGAAATGAAACTACAGGCAATGATAAGCAAGTCACGACTTGCCTGGCATATGAAAGAGAGTGTTGAAATTTCACTTGCATGATCACTCAGTTCCAGTTTATACACTACAGAACATATCAAAGCAAACTATACTATTTTGGCCATCCCTGAGTAAAACGTCAAGCAATGGAAATGGTACCAAATTTAGTTCATTGATACCTCAGTGGCATTTTGCAGAGGAAGACTTTGGAAAATGAGTATATTATGAAAATGAGTAGAGAAGTTTATATTGGTTGCCATTCAAATCACTAGACAGAAGGAGTATTTAAATATATTTTTCTAGATAACACATCAAAATACTTCAATAGTATCACATCCTGTCAAGAATACAAGATGTTCTTGAACGTAAGATTTTACATACGAGCCTGCCCAATTTATATGACAGGCATAAAATGTATATATAATAATGGCAGACAACTCCTTAATAAGATAACTTATAAAGGTTAACTAGCTTATGTCAGGTTTAACATTACACTAAGTATTCCTGATATGGAACTGTACAGTTTGGCAATGACGCAAGACACACAAGCTTTATTTTCATTGATTCCACTTTTGGATTACTGTAAGAAAGAAAAGTTTTTAACAGTATTATGCTATTGTTTCTGCGTCATAATAAAGCTGATGTTTTGAATAAGCACACACATATACTTTCCTAAAAATCAACTTTAATAAAATGGTAGCTTATTAGTTCTATATATATGCACTACAGGCAAACTATTATCCACTACAATTAATTTATAGAAATGTAAAACATAATACCAGATTCTGATCCTAATGAGACCTATTGAAAATGTCTCCTGAGAAGGGCTAACAGCTATACCTGAGTCCATTTATCTTAATGATCACTTTAAATTAAAATGTAAAAAGACGGCCGGGCGCGGTGGCTCAAGCCTGTAATCCCAGCACTTTGGGAGGCCGAGGCGGGTGGATCACGAGGTCGAAAGATCGAGACCATCCTGGTCAACATGGTGAAACCCTGTCTCTACTAAAAATACAAAAAATTAGCTGGGCATCGTGGTGCATGCCTGTAATCCCAGCTACTCAGGAGGCTGAGGCAGGAGAATTGCCTGAGCCCAGGAGGCGGAGGTTGCGGTGAGCCGAGATCGCGCCATTGCACTCCAGCCTGGGTAACAAGAGCGAAACTCCGTCTCAAAAAAACAAAAAAAACAAAAAACAAAAACAAACAAACAAACAAACAAACAAAACAAAACAAAACAAAAAAATGTAAAAAGACTAAATCATCAATTCACCCCTTTAATTTCTTTTCCTAACCATTCAAGATTACTCTATTAAGAAACCTTTTCCTACAAGTGTTACGGATTTTTTTTTCTCTAACATCTTACAAAGGACACTATTCAGCACAAAATTTGATTATGCGGTTCGGGCCATAGATCCTCTGTGAGATTTTCTCAGATCCGCTCCCATGGACACTAACTCTAAGAAGCCACATGTCTCTTGGCTCTATTCCCATGGAACTCAGAAACTTGGCATTACCTCTCAACCAGCCAAAAACAAAACGTGTCCATACAAGAAAGTATGCCTACGTGTTGTCATGAGATCCTGATGATGCTGAGATCGAATTCTGAAGGTGACAAACATAAAACACTGGTTTACTGGACACAATCAAAATTTTAATGAAAATTGTTACATGGAAACAATTGAGTGGTCACTGAGGCAACCACTAGGCTTCAAGCTTTAATATCTTCCTGAAAAACTGCATACTTTGCAGGCAACTCAAGTAATGCAGTGAATTATATGGCTGCCTGCACCACCCTAGGTGAAGAATTCTACTGAGGAACACCAGGTCATCTTGGGCTTTGAATGAGGCCAGAGTCATGGGATAAAATCATAGTAAAGAAAAGCAGATGAGTGTACTCCCCCCTACTTATAGATATGCCTTGTCAGCCAGTAAAACTGTCCCGAAGTCTAGAATCTACCAGGACCTGTGTCTTACAGTGAACTGAAGTTCCTTAGAGCACCAGTCAGGCAGAATTTCACCGAAGCTGCGTAGGACTGGTGAAACCCAGATGCATTCCTATCTTCTCATCGGCCAGGGTGCATATCTATGACTGAAACAAATTGTACCAAGTAAGCCTCTTATGGGAGAAATAGCTCTGCAACTGCAGGGCCAGCAGAACTCCTTCCTTTGCTGAGAGAAGTATGTGGACTATGAATAGTGAGCCCTATCCAGCTTGACCAGAAAGATGTTTGACCAGACAGATGTTTGACCAAAGATTCCTCATCCTGGCCAAAGACAGCAGCGTCTTCTCAAGGCAGCAGCTGTCACAGTGACTGGGATTTGGCCATGTATATATTGACACAGCTTTATCTAGTACATTACCTTGTTAGTGTGTTTGGCCCTCATATATCCTCTTCAGCACAGTAAAGAATAAATTACTTATAGGATATTGTACTTACAGAAGAAAATCACATTATATGGGAATTATTATCTCCATTTTGGAAATAAGGAAGCTCAGGCTCAGAGAGGTACATGACTAATAAATGACTAAGATGGGTATATATGTAATATAAGAAATTCAAATGTAGAGGTACAATTTTTCACTCATTAATTCAGGCATGAAAAATTGTAACTTTTGATTTCTTACAAAATTGATCATCTTTTACTTGAAGCCTCCTCATGCTATATCACTATTTCTACTTTGTAGATGCAACATCATTGGGAACCACTCTAATAAAGGTCCTCTCCACGGACCTCACACAGAAAATGATGTACAATATCCATATCCCCCTATTCTCAACTGCCTGAACTTCTAGGACGGGTATAATATCTCTAATTCATTACATCCAGTTCAACTCATAAGGTAGGGTAACACAAAAATACCAATGTCTGAAGCCTCTCTCTTTTCAACAAATTCTTTCCTGTCACTGGCTCATGAGATCTTTATGTGAAAAGATACAGAAACAGGTTCTGACTAGCTGGCTCTATTTACTAACTCTTTATATTTGAGACCTGAGCCTAGACCCTTGCACTTGCTACCTTTTTTTTCTGATTTAAATCTGACAAGTGGAATCCTGGAAAAATGTAACTTCTTAATAAATCATGTTATTAATTCTCACTAATGATAAAAAAGGTAACAAAATGATATGACATCCTTTCACCTACAACGACACTAAATTTTATGTTAATATCTAGTGGTATTAGTAAAGGTGATCAGAAATAAACACTCTACACTGTACATTAGCTATAAAAAGGCCCTGACCAGTGCCTTTCAATTTTTAACATTAAACTAAATTTGGCCTGGGGCCATCTCCATACCTCCCTATGTAACTGGAGGGCAATCTAACTTATTAAGTAAACAAAGTGAAAGCCTGATTTAGGGGTATATTTTATAACAAATAGCTGGGTGTCAGCCAATCACAGCAGCTGAGCTTCAGCCAGTCTCAGGCAGCCAACTGACCAAACCACGGCCAAACAAGGCAAATGTAGATCTCTAACCAACCAAACTGTTTCTACACTTCATGTTCATTTTCTGTCTATAAATGCTGCCTGTCTATATTGCATAGGAGAGCTCTCTCAACCTCTGCTATGCTCTGGTTCTGAGGGGTGCCTGACTGACAAATTGTTCTTTGTTTAAATAAACTTGTTTTATTTTTCAAAAGTTGTTCTTTTAACAGTAACAAGATCCTTAGAAGTTCTAATGGTGATTTCACTTCTAAAATTTTATCCTCCCTCCAAAAACATAAACATTTATGTAAAACTAAAGTTATTATTTTTAAGATTGGAAATGCATACATTCTAAATATACAAAAATGGTTATAATTAATTTAGCAAATAGTATATTCAAAATTAAATATATATGTGTGTCTCTAAATATACATGTGTCATATGTATACTTAGAATACATACAGCTGTAAGTAACAGAAACCCCAATTCAAATAGGACTTAATAGAAAAGCTGATTATCTTACAGAAGTCCAGATGTAAGGCAACTCTTGGTAGGGTATGATCAGTAGCTTAGTTGAAGACCTAAATGCTTTCTACTGCTTCACTCTGCCACGCTCATTGCATTTGTTTGGACATCATTTTGTCTCTATAATCACAAGATTGCTACTGTAGTTTACATGACAATGTACGTGTATATTGAAGGAAAGGAGCCAC